TAGCCCCCCTCGCATGGGTATAAATAGCAGTGGAGCCAGTGAGGCACAGCTCAGATGAGTAGAATGCAGACACGCCTGCAGGGCATGGGTATTATTTGAGTACATACCCTACACCAGGGGTCCCCAACGCGGTACCCGCAGGCGCCATGGTGCCCGTCGGGGCGTCTAAGTGCGCCCACGCACTGGCCAGCGGACGAGCATCTGCCGAAATGCCGCCGAGAAGCAGCGTCATCCAGAGACGTCACCGCTGAAATGCCGCTGATTTTCAGCCGCATTTCAGCAGCGACGCCTTTGGATGATGCTACTTGTTGGCGGCATTTCGGCGGATGCTCATCCACTGCCACAGTCCTCCGCAGCTCGTCGTCTGGCACCCGCCAGCCGAAAAAGGTTGGGGACCACTGCCCTACACGTTCTCCACTCACCCAAGCCGTGCCTCCCAGCCGCTCTGCTACACACTGCAGGGTAGTGTCCCACTGCTTCCCTGCTGCTGAAGCCTTTCCCCTCTGGGCGGAGGGGGGAGGCTCTGGGCAGGGGGAAGGCAGCCTTTCCCCCCCGCCTAACCCTTTTCCTCACCGCAGTGAAAGGCTCCAGTAGCAGGGAGCTGCTGCTTTTCCCCCCTAGCAGAGCCTTTCACTGTAATGTGTAGCTACATACCGCAGTGTGGACACAGCCTGCTTTTCACAGCAGCTTTTACTTACATGTACGTTACACGCCGCCATCAGTGGTGTGTAGTATAGATATAGCCTGTCACAGACACCTGGAAGGGTTGCAAACACCAGCCAGACTTCCAAGCTATAGGACCGAGACATTATCCTGCAGCCCGGGTGTAGGTGATGTTCTCCTCAGGGGAATGGTGGAGTACATGGCTCGCTTAGAGAGATTTTCATCCGTAGTTATCTGCAGTGTGTCTATTTAACCTTGGTTTCTCTCTGTCACTCACACATTCACCCACCCCTCTATTAATATACCTGTTCCTAATAAAAACACCCTAAGTTGTCAAGTGGTGACTGTAGTTGGAAGTTTCCCAGATGGGCCCAAGAGAGAAACCGCTCCTCTGATTTCTAGGAGGCAGACATGAAAGCAGTAATGATCCAGCCTCAGTACTGCCTGGGAGTGAAGGAATGGAGTCATCCCCTCACCCAGCAACGTGGGGAAGTGGACGCAGGCAGGGGGTGGGTATAAGGACCCAAAGGTGTTGGCAGATTTACACTAGTGAGACAGCTAAGGAAGCAATCTGGAGTCACGGAGCTAATGTGATCCTGTGTCATTTAGATTTTACACGGTTTGGAGGCTGTTGCCTCTAGAAAAGTGCGATTGCTCTGAAGAGGGAGAAAATCCCGTGCAAAGCAGGATTCTGTTGGCAGTACAAACCCCATTGATAGTCCCTTCGAAACTCAGCCTATGCTCAGCAATCCTGGTGATGACAACTCCATTTAGTCTCCTTCATCAGCATTTTCCCTTGGGGGGGAACAACAGATAAAGATGTGCAATAATGGTGCTTTGAGCTTGTGCCTTTCATCCAAGGAACTCCATGTACACTACCTACTTTGTGTCTGAAACCCGTGCCAATAAGTAGTATTATACCCATAATGCAGATAGGGAAACAGGCACAGGGACTAGTTGATGAGCATACTCTGAGTCAATAGCAGAGCCTGGAATGGAACCTAGAAATCAAGACTTTTGGGTCCCAAGCTATAACCACTAGACCATGCTGCCTCTGCATGATACATTGGTTCTAGGTCTTACCCCTTTGGAAAAGCCATCCTTCACAACATCAGAAGTATCACAACACCACTGCATGTCTCCAGCTGACCTCAGTTGGGAGCTCTGCAGAAAAGGACCTGGGGATTACAGTGGAGAAGCTGGATATGAGTCAACAATGTGCCCTTGTTGCCAAGAAGGCTAACAGCATATTGAGCTGCATTAGTAGGAGCATTGCCTGCAGATCGAGGGAAGTGATTATTCCCCTCTATTCGGCACTGCTGAGGCCACACCTAGAGTATTGTGTCCAGTTTTGGGCCACCCACTACAGAGAGGATGTGGACAAATTGGAGAGAGTCCAGCGGAGGGCAACGAAAATGATTAGGGGTCTGGGACACATGACTTATGAGGAGAGGCTGAGGGAACTGGGCTTGTTTAGTCTGCACAAGAGAAGAGTGAGGGGAGATTTGATAGCAGCCTTCTACTACCTGAAGGGGGGTTCCAAAGAGGATGGAGCTCGGCTGTTTTCAGTGGTGGCAGATGACAGAACAAGGAGCAATGGTCTCGAGTTGCAGTGAGGGAGATCTACGTTGGATATTAGGAAACACTTTTTCACTAGGAGGGTGGTGAAGCACTGGAATGGGTTACCTTGGGAGGTGGTAGAATCTCCATCCTTAGAGGTTTTTAAGGTCAGGCTTGACAAAGCCCTGGCTGGGATGATTTAGTTGGTGTTGGTCCTGCTTTGAGCAGGGGGTGGGACTAGATGACCTCCTGAGGTCTCTTCCAACCCTAATCTTCTATGATTCTTCTCATCCTTCAACTTCAAAACAATGCTACCCTTTTTGCACATGTTCCTTTGTTTCAATTCCAGTTGTCACCCCAGACACTGAGATATGGTTTCTGGACAGAGCTCTGTACTGGCATTTCCTCACCGACTCCTTCACTGCCTACTACCGACTGCTGATCACCCACCTGGGTCTCCCGCAATGGCAGTATGCCTTTACGAGCTACGGTGTCAGCCCCCAGGCTAAGGTAGGAGAGCAGGAGCTTTACTTTGACTCTGCAGTGAGTCTGAACACAAGCCAGTCCTTCCCGCTTTCTCAAGACCAGTGTGTAGAGCCACCTGACTCAGCAACAAGCAAAGGCTCTCAAGAAGCAAGATTACCCTCCGCAAGGCATCAGACTTAGGGGGCGTATAAGGGTTAGCTAGAGCTGGGCTTTCTAGCAGCACCAAGGCTACTGCTGCTATTATGATGCTTATTGAGCTCTCCCATCTGTGGCTGTGCAGGGGGATAAGGCCATCTACATTCCCCCGTGCAGACATGGAAGACCGACCCAGATCACAGCTCTGCGCATGGTGGAGAAAGCAAGGGCTGAACCCCCTGTACTGCCTTCCCCTTCCCAACTGCTGAGAGCAAGTGGGCAGGGAAGCCCCACTACAAACTGGACAGCAGACCTAACCATACATGAGTGGGGAACGTGCCGCACCTTGCAAAAGGCTGTAGCAAAGTATTCTCCTTGTCCTCTGCCACCCCAAGAAACGTTGCCTGAGAGGGGAGTGAGAGTCCCAATATCTCCCAGGGCTACTCCTGGGGTGGTGCTGGTTACACATTGCTCCTTGCTCGGGGCTGGGCGGAAAGGCACAATCTGATTCTAGCCTGGTCTTCTCACTGCTGCTCCCTGCTAGGTAGCTGCATTTATAGCTTCCTGCCTTTCCTCTGAGTTTCTGATTGCGCCTTCAGTCCCAGCCTGGCTCATTACTCCACCCTCTGCACATGTGGGAGAGAACAACGCTTAACACTGTGTGCACTGACCCATGCTGTCTCTGTGCATGCTGGCAGGGCCTTTGCTCCTGTTACACATAGTTGTTCTGGGGCTCTTTGTTTTATCACAGAGTTTGCAGACATGCTATCAGCAGAATGACATTCCCTGATTCTAGGCATGTGAAACTGTCCTTTGAAGCCAATCCTCATTCTGCAACTACGAACCATCTCTGTTCTAAAGCTCTTTGCACAAAACCCTGTGAGCTGACACAGGTTCCTGACAGCAGGAGCTTGGCGTATGTTTAAAATGTTCCAAAGTTGATTCTTGCAGTTTCCCTCCAAGTCTCTAATGTGTGATTTCCCCCCCCCCTCCCCCCATGTCATCCTTCCCTGTAATCTGCTTTTTTCAGCAATGGTTTGACATGTACAAGCCCATCACCATCAACACAGCTCTACTTTCGGAAGAACCTGACTCCTTTGTGAACAAACTGGACCCCAACAAGGTATTTAAAAGCAAGAACAAAACTCCGGTGATCAAAAAGAAATTGCCAGCCCAGCCAGCAGGCTCTCAGAAAAGCCACGCAAGCACAACCGCCTCCAAGACCCCTTCGCACTCCGGGAACGCCCTGAGGAAACGAGAACCCCAAACCTGACGCTGGAAAGCAGGTTCATTCCAGACTGTTAAAAACCCACTGTGGTGTCTCTTAGGTTTGGATCAAACCATTTCTCATGCATGAATAGACTTCCCAGTGCAAGCTGTGTTGCAACATTCGCATGAACTCTAGCAGCAATTTAATTTATGGGAGATATGGCTGGAAAGCCAAAAAGCTGCAGGTCCTGGAGAGATGGTGGTTAATTCCTTTCTATTCCGATGGGCAAATACACGTGTGTGGATAAAAATGCCACTGAGCTGGGTGGAGTGTGTTACTACTGATAACTGCAGCAATGGACTCAAGTAAAATCAATCTCTACCATTTTCATATACATCTTATTAAATACAACATCCATACACAAATATTTCCCCCCGTGTCCTTTTTAGAAGAAAGAAGCATGCCATGATCATTGCATGTAATGAGAGCAGGATCAAACCTGCTGGTGGTGAAGTCAAGGGGAGCATTAAGGGAGCAGGACTGGGCCCCATGGTTATAGCCCAATGATATGTAAGGGCTTCATGCTGACCACCCCCAAATCCCATTGAGTGTTCTGCCCGGGATCAGGCTCTGAGCTATTTATCCAGACTGCATGTTAAACAGAAATGGACCTTCTGCTAAAGACCACTCCTGACGTTGTGCGCTCTCTGCAAGAGCTGGCCGGGCCAGTGCAGCGCAAAGGTGCCAAGTCATCTAATATGGCGAGCAGGTGGACTAGCCAAGGACAGTGCTGTAAAACGATTATGCACATCCAGCAGTATCTAGGGAACCCTCTTACAAAGAAATCCCTTTTTTCCCAAGCCAATGCTGCTCTCCTCAGAAGTTCCCTGGCTCCAGGTTAACACTCTGCCCTGGAACGAGGTGGGATTCCCTAGCGCCGTAGCTGTCTGTGCTGGGTGCTGAGCGCCTCCCCAACTCCTGCGGATCTCAGTAGGCAGGGAAGCTGCTCAGCAACTTTCAGGATCAGGCTTCTCAGGACTGGGCTCTATAAAAGCCTAACTGTGGGTCCCAACCCATCAGTAGGTTTTGGAAAGGTTGCGGAGGGGTCAGGGACCCAGAGCAGAGGGGTTCTCCAGGGGACGGGTGGGTGGGTGGGTTGGAGAGCAAGCCTGCGCCACACTTACCCTGCAGCAGCAGCATCTCCTGTCCACGGGGCTGGGACCCTGGAGCTGGGAGCCGGTCGCAGCTCCGCAGGACAAGAACCGCTTCTGCAGGGTGTGTGCAGGGTCACTCTCCAACATACACACAGCGGGGAAGGACTAGGGTTGTGGTGCCGGGTCGAGTGCTTTCTGCAGATGCCAGTGCCGAGGAGGAAGTGGTGGCGGCAGCAGCAGCAGAAGAGGAGGCCTATGATTTTTGGAGTCCCACCCCACACCCAAATTTGCAAAACAAGACACAATGCAGTTGGTGGGTCTCCTTAGTAAAAGAGTCTAAACAAGAGCCACTCCGAACAGGGGAAAGCACCTTTCACTGCCAATTTGGGACCAAAGGAAACCCAACCATTTTCCTCTGCTCTTTTGCACCATCTGTTCTGAGACGCCTTCTACGGAGCAGAGGAGACTGGAGCCCCAAGTCCAGTGCAGTGGTCTGGCTACCCAGGCTGCAACACCGACAACCGCTGCAGCAGCTGTAGTGGCAGATGTTGAAGGATTTACCGCAGGATGGCATTTGACCTGGCTAACTACCTATGTGTGGAAAAGATCAAAAGCAGTAGGGTACTCCAGCTTTACCACTTTCTACGGCTCTTGGAGCCAGTGCAGCTACAGGAGAACACAGAAGCTTTACTGTTAGAGATGCACATGCCAGTAAAAACCCAGCTTGCCTCTCAGTTCCCAGGCTGAGTTGTAAGGTTGACCATTAGAAAAGTCATTGTTACTTGTAAACTGGGTAGAATTTGCTGTGAAGGCATCGAGAGCCCATAAACGTGGAACCCCATGTTTCTACACTTTAGACAATGTAATTTTCCAGGGTAGAACTGCACTTTAACCCATTCAGTGCTGGTCTTCAACTGTACCCACTATTGCCTCCATTCTGGCACATTCCATTTTCTTAGCTGTACTGGGAACACTTAGTAGCCACCAAACAATCTGTGTGTCTAATAGAGACATCCAGGGCACCATCTCAAAACAAGCAATGATTCTTTACATTGGGGAGTCTCTAACTGCTAACATGATTGCATAAGTGTAGAATACCAAGCTACCTCACAAGGTGTTGTGGGGGTTATTTACTTGATGTTGGTGCAGCCCTTGGAAGTATTAAGCACTGTATAAGGGCGATGTATTTTAATAAAGATTTTAATATGGTCCTCCAAAATCCGGTTTTTGAAGAATACCAGATCCTCTAAAGAGCATGCACACACGACCAAGGACAAGAGTCTTTGCTGTGCTTCTAAGAGGCGCAGCACAGAATGAGTAGCCGTGAGGGAATAGCCTAAGATGCCTTTAAGCTGATCCCAGTCTTAGGTTGTTCCCTGGCCCCCATTGTAACTGAGACAGCCCTGAGGGACTGTCTACATTACAGCAGCCTCACTCGGTTGCCCGATGGGTGGCAACACAGCTCAGAATCTCTGCAGTGCTGCTGCCCAACTCCTAACAGGTTCCTGTCATCCTTAGCCCTGTTCCTGGCCTCCCCTTACACCAGGAGTTAAGGGGGTCCTTGCAAGGCAGTTTACTGTGGTTACTGTCCTGAGGGAATCTGCCCCCAGCTGTATCAGGGACTTTAAGAGCCCTTTGTCCAGCCCTTTTTTGCCCCAACTGTCTTGGCTTTGAGGGTGGGTGACAACCTTTCATGAGCACCTGTTTGTTCAGTGTAGTAGCAATAACAGGGATACACAAGAGGACACTCAGTGATCCACTCACTCATACCTATTCCACTCTGAGCTAGTGAATTTCGCATTTAGGATGCTGCAGAATTACATGTGTGGAATCGCTCGGCTTTGTTTTTTCCACCTGAGTGATGGGTTTGGTGTATTATTTCCAGGGGTGAAAGTAACTTAAAGGACTTACCAGTACGCCGGAGTCATGAGCAGGGCACGTGGCCTCAACCGGAAGAGGTGGGGCCTTTAAATACCCTGGCCCTTTAAATCAAGATTAGGGCCTTTAAATCACCCCTGGAGCTCCCAGCTGCAGAGGAGCAGAGCCCCTGGCCCTTTAAATCACCACCGGAGCCCTGCCGCTGCTACCCCAAGGCTCCGGCAGCGGGGCTCAGGAGGAGATTTAAAGGGCCCAGGGCTTTGGCCGCTGCAGGGAGCCCCGGGCCCTTTAAATCGCCAGCCTGGGGAAGCTGGTCCAGTCCAGCACAGCGTACTGGCTCTTGCCGGTATGCCATACCGGACCGGACCGGCTTACTTTCACCTCTGATTATTTCCATAAAGGAAAAAAAAGTTAAGAAACTTAAACTTCCACTGAAGTTTAGAAAAGAGCCACTTTCAGCCCCACTCAATACTGTTCTGTCCACCAGAAATCCTAGCTAGTCTGATTGAGTTGCACAGACTTTTAAAAGCCACCGTCCATTTTTACACCTATAGATTGTGCAAGTAAATAACTACAGGTGCAACGGATGTCCCTTGGACATTATCCACTGAGTTATTGAGCGTTATTTAATTAGTGGTGTGAAAACAAAAGCTCAGTGAAGGCAGGGTTGAACACTTGATCCAGTGATGAAGTCATGTGGCTGATCGAACTTTCCTTTCCAGCTTTGTCCTAGCAACACTTGGACATCACACACTGTTAGTCTGCAAATCGTCCTTTCCTTTCTCATCTCCGCCTTCCAGTGCAGTCTGATTGTGAAAGTCAATTAGGAGTTTGTAGGCTAAGGCACCAGCAAGACTTCCCAGTGTTGGAGCTACAATTGGGACCCACCACCAATAATCTCCAGCCCTAAAAGAAAAGAGAGGACAGGTTTCTGGTGAATCAGAACATTTGCTTTGCTGTCATATTCTACCCTAGGTAAGCTAAGTTTGTCTTTGCTACAGAGTCAAGTTCTAATCTAGCAAAGTTATTTTTCCCCACAGAATGTATTCATACTGGAGGGAGGTGAGCTATGATATTATTTTGCACATTTATAGAGCTTTCTGTCTGAGGATCTCAAAGACTTAAAGGGCTCAATCCAAAAATCAATGGAAAGATTCTCCTGGATTTCAGTAGACTTTGGATCAGCCCCTAGATGAATTAAGGCTCAGAATAGCCTTTGAGGTCTGCAGGTATTATCAACATTTTACAGACGGAATCAGAAAGAGAGAAGGCCAATGCCTTTCCCAAGGTCACACAGGAAACCTATTTCAGCATAAGGAGTAGAAACCAGGTCTGAGTCTTTTGCTTACCCACATGACCATCTTTGCTGTAATGGGAATTGCAAACTGCATGATGTCATACATTGAAACAATGTGTGACTCTCACTTAATCTCACGGTGAATGGCATTTGCCTATATCCAAATCCACTACAAGTAGATCCCGGTGCTGTTGAAATGTGTTTTGATTATTTGATGGCTCACCCTTAGCTACTATTTTAAAATACGTTAGACAAAGCAATCAGAATTGGACCAAGATTCTGTGCCAGCCAGTCAGAATGCTGGGTGAATGTTGTGCCATATGAAAGAGCAGCGTTCCCACTGGAGTAGGGAACCAACTTGCATACTGAGATTCCAACTGGTCAGAGATTAGTTTCTCCCTTTAAGTGCTTTTTAAATAAGGGTTAATAGCGTTTACCTTGTATTAACACATTTTTCAGGTCACATATTTGTGATCAGTACAGTGTAAAAGGAAAGAAGGTAACCTACCTAAAGACTTCAATTCCCCAGCCTGCTATTGCAGTAAAGATCCTTGGAGGCAGGTCCCTGGAGGGGTTTATTGCATATCCAGTGTTTATTCCCATTGTTATGCCGATCACTAACACCAGGAGCCCAGTGATCACAGGCTGAGTGCCCTCTAGGGCTCCATTATTCTTCTTGTCATAGATGGCAAGAATGCACAACATGAGCACCGCTGTGGCAAGGAACTGTGGGATCGGGAGAAAGCACAGGTCAGTACAGAAGTGCATGTCGAGGCCAAAAGGAGTCACTGGAACATGGGAAAGGAGCAGAGCCCAGAGTCAGGAATCAGGACCTGCAGCAGAGCTAATCTCTAGGCAACCTTGTCAGGACAACTGACCTGCAGCAGCTGCTTGATTAGCCATGCCACCTGCTTAGCTGCAGGGGCCCAGCAGGTTGGCTCTTAAGCCAGCAGCCGCAGCAGCTCACTGGCTTCTCAACATGCATACTGGTGCATGCTCCTGTGTTACCCGGTCCCTGCTGCTCCTGCCTTGAACCCCTCCTTGATCCCATGTTCCCTCCAGTTCCTGCCCTCCAGTTCGACCCTGGGTTCTGACTACTGACTCTGGCTTGATCCTGGCTCTGGTATCCAGTTCCTACCCTCTCGTTTGACCCTTGGCTTTGGCTCTGGACTACTCATGCCCACTCTGACCACTAGGCATGCTGGCCGCTCCAGTTTCTAGGCTAGACCACCCTCATCCTGGTTGACTGACAATTTGAAAAGATACATTATCCATGGACTAGATGGATTGTGAAGCATTTCACCTCCAGGTCACCATTTTGAATCTGGCCAAGGTTGAGAGTAACCAGAAGTTGTTAGTATCTCGTCACAGCCAGCCTATGTGAAACAAACAGAGGATCTTGCCCCATTCCAAATGAGTGTGTCCACAGTACAAGAGCCACTAACATAATTATACATGTGTAAATGTGTCCATATAAACTATTTTTCATGTCCCTCCACCTCTCAACCAAAGTACCTTAGTTATTCTGAGTCCACTTGTACCAGACTCAGAGGGAGCCATAAAAACCTGTAACAATGAGCCCAAATAGCTTTTCTAGATGTAAAAGTGTCATGACTTTCAAGTCCATTATGTCAGCCCCTTCCGGGGCAAGACTCAGGGGATCTGCGCCCAGTTGGGAAGCTGTGAATCCCCACTTTCTGATGGAAAAAAGCTCCCATTTCTAGCCCTCCAGCATCCCAGCCATCCTGGGCCAGGATTCTGTTGGAGATGACTGCATTTGTCCCTCCCCACTTTGTGAGAATTTGCCCATAGATAGGAAGGTTCTGCCTTTTGCAGCCATTCCACACACACATCAATGGGAGCTGAAGACTTGTAGCTACTGGGAGCTCTCACTCTCATTCATCTTCTTCCCCAGCAGCAATATACTCTACATTGCCTAGAAGACAGAACAAATCTGGGGACACCTGGAGACTCTACAACTGTCACTATGTTACACACCATGGCCACTCAGAACTTCACCAGGACAGAACCCAGATCCTCCTGCTCCACAGGCACGGTGGGGACAAGGGAGGCGATTGTAATTAGAAGCTATGGGATGAAACCAAGGAATAGCTTAGAGACATTTCATATTAGACCAGATGACACACTAGCGATAATTAGGGAGCTGGAGGGAATTGGTCCTGCGTTGGCTGGAGAATGGATTAGAGGGCTCTACAGCCTCTGTCCCTCCTAAATCAGGCTGTTCCCCATGTGGAAGAAGGAGCAGGTTTGGCCCCAAAATGACAAATCTTACAAGGATCAGTGGAGGCTCTGGCTCCTTCTGCTCCCCTATTGGCCCCCAGGTTCTCTCTGCTCCCGCCGTTGGGACAGCTCCTGCTGGAACTGTGCAGACATGAACTCTGGGCCCAGAACCCTACGTACAGGAAGGTTCCACAGCACCAGAGCCCAGATTATCAGTAACTAACCCACACGCTCTGCAAGGTGGATGGCATGACAATGCCACCTCCACCCCCTCCCATCCCTCAATCAGGCAGGAGCTCGTACCATGCAGTGCCCTGGGGAGTGGAAGAGGGAGTAAACAGCACTGTGAAGTGGCTTTCCTGCTGCTGTCCCCCACAAGTCAGGCTTGCCTGGATCCCTACACAGAGAACCAGGGAAGGGTTTTTAAGGTGGACTGCAGTCATGCTGATTGCTTGACAGCTGAACCGTGCTCCATGGCCAGAGTATTTGGGTTCTGAGGAAGGCTTGTGATTCTCACCTCCTGGACTAGTGCAAGCAAAACATGTCTTGGGAAGATGCACTCACCCTCAGTCACCAGGATTGCAGCCAAACTCACAGAGCCTCTCTGACCAGTTCCTGGCAGGGCAGGGGTCTCTGCCTTGAATTAGAATGTTGGCAAGTAGTTCTGGCCATAGCATGGTGGAGATGCTGCACCCACACAGAGAAGTGGGGTCACAGAGCAGGGAAACAGCAACCCAAATTATGGTCCTGATGAACCCCAAAGAGGCTTCTTCACCCAGATATATGAGACATGAATTTTTGCCTTATGTTTGGAAATAAACAAATAGGGAGTGTTCAACAAGAAACCTGGAGTGGGGTCCACAGCAAAAGAACTGCTAACAGAAGATGAATCACAAACAATAGAAGAACATTGTTTACATGGATTCCACATGCCAGCAAGGTGAGTAACGCCCCTGTAGAGCAGGACTGCTACAGCGCTGCCAAATTACTGCACAGCCCAGTGGAGACGGCGCAAACGGTAATTTCATCACAGCAGACACAATGTTGAAGGAAGGAATGATGTTCTGCATGTCACTCCATGAACAAAGGGTTAAAGGCCTTTAGGATCTGATCCCGAGAAGTGCTCCCGTAACTCCCATGGACTCAAGCAGGGCCTAAACCCTCAGGTAATCCTAGACACAATCACCATTCCAGAGCACATCTCTGCCCTCTTCGCCAGCAGCAGAGGATTTACTCACAATGCCAGAGTTGATGGCTTCATGGAAATTAACATACAACCAAGCAGCAGCCTGACTGCTAGCAATGAGCAAAAACAACCCACCAATATTCCCACAGCTGGAAGCCACCGCTTTAGGAGCCACATGCTAAAAGAATGAAGAGTGAGAAAGGGGGGAAGTTAGTCACAAATGTGCAGCACATGGAGAGCTCATCCTCCAGACTTCACCCCGTCCAGGTCTACCCTAGGAGCCTCATTCCAGGCACCTAATTCTCTCTATGCTGTCCGCCATGGGGCTGAAGTCACAAGATCAGCCTTTTCCTAACAACTCTCTCCACCAGCCTATTCGGAGCTGGCTCAGAGACCCCTCCATGATGCACAGGGAGCAGAGACGCCCCATATGTGTCTGCCCTTCCCTCACTGCCACAGGGTGTGAGTGGGTGCTGATGCTCTCCTAACCCTGGGTACATTTCAACGGTGATGGACCATGGAAATAATTTTTGAAAGAAAACAAACAAAAAACTGTAAAAAGCTTGAAACATTCTCAGTAGCAACCAAGTGCCTTACAGAGCAGTCATCTATTGGAACAGACAAATGTGCTCCAAACGGAGCTCTGCTTCGGTACTGATCGTTCACTCCCCCATACTAAGGCTCCAGCCACCCCCCTCTGTGCTCGGTTTCCGTGCACCCATCTGCCAATTAAGCCACAGTACTTCAGCTAGTCACCTTTAAATTCAGCCCGCTGTGCCGCAGCCAAACATCCTCCCCTGTACGCTCATCAGGGCAGTTGATGGGTCTTTTACAGGGCTGAGCATGCTACTGCTGCTTAACAATAACAGCCCTCTGCATTAAACCTGCAACAGCACCTGGTCACCAAGCCAGGCCGCTGTGACCACAGCTGTGCTCCAAACACAACAGTGACATGGCAGAGAAATCCTGAGTACTGACCTCATTTACAAATCCTCCCAGCAGAGTCATATATGGAGCAGGGTAGGTGGCGAAGATCCCAGCTGTGCCATTAGGTCCCGTCACAATGAAGCGTCCGTCCGAGTATTCGCACAGCGCATCTAGGAGAAAGGGGAGACATGGGGTTAACCCTGCTGCTGACGCTGGCCCACACAGGGGCCCTCAGACTGTGGTGATGAGACATGAGGGCAAGCTGAGGAGGGACAGCAGGACGGCCCCACCCTGACTAAATGCAAACACATTGATTGCAGTCAGGACGGGCACAAGACAGAGTGGAGGGGTGGAAAGAGACGTGGCCAAGTAGCCACTCCTTTCCCAAGAAATGAGTTCATGGAGATCTTGTCTCCCTGAGACTTTGCCCAGCAGAACTTTATTATGTCCACAGGCTCCCAGCCCCCACTGTGTGCCTCTCTGACAAGCAGAGGCTTGGATGTGAACTCTGCAGGTACTGGTGAGGAAAGCACTGGGGCCTCTTGGGAAGAACAGAGGCTGCTTCTCTGCTCCCCCACAGACTTTTCAGACATGCCTGAGCTGGCCCATAGCAGCTCCCCCTCCTGGGAATTGTTGGCAGAAAAATAAATGCCAGTCCCTTCTTGTCCAGACTTTCAGTGGGGCTGAGCCCCCCACCCCACCGCACCCCACCCCAGTGGAGGTCAACAGCAGCTGCAGCTGCTCAGTAGTTTTTAAAAGCAGGCCATATCCGCCTGCCTCCTTTGCTAAGTCTGCACCCCTCCCTTTGGGATCCAGACCTCACCACAGTAACCTCAGCCCCTGGGACTCCCAGTAGTCCTGCCTGCAATGTACTACACTTGGGGTGGCACTTGCAGACCTTTGAAAGTGTCGGCTGTCTCAGAATGCAGCTGCCTGACCACTAGGCAGCTTTAGGCAATGGGACTACAGGACACCTGCTTTCCAGCAAATGCATTGCCTTCCTGGGTGCACTTCAAGCTATTGGCTATGATCTCTAAGGCTATATGGGTAGGGCTGCACTGCAGTGTAAGCCCAGGGTTTGAACTCAGGCTCAAGCCTAGCCCTCCTTCTGTCTACACACAAATTATGATAACCCAGAGTCCCACCACCTCCCGGTGGTGGAGGGTTCGAGCAGGAGTCAAGTTGGGACCCAGAGTCCATGCCCTATTGCTTTGCAGTATAGATACAGCCCCACTGAACTCATGCTCTGGGAGTCCACCAAAAGTATCCCACATGCTGACTTTCTTTGTCTTCTGCACAGTCAAGTTTGATGGACAGTCATGTTTTCCCATGTTGCACCATGAACAAAAGGCTAGAGCAGCCATATCTGGGGAGGGCACTAGGAAGTCTGAGATATGGGTGGTTGGACTCAGGCTCGCAGTATCCAGTGTAAATGCTGGAACCCCAGATTAGGTTCTGGGGCTCAACACTTCCTAACTTGGGGTTACAAATGAATATAGACGCTCAAGCCCTAGGTTAACAAACCCAGGGCCTGCTAACTTCAGTTCTACCAACCCTGGGCTTACATTGCAGTGCAGACATATCCTATGTGGCTAGCCAAGAGCTGGCCCTCTCCCCCAAGACACAACAATAGATGAGGTAGTGGAGGACTTAAATTAATGGTCCCAAGACTCAGGCTAGGTCTACACTACAGCGGGGGGGTCAACCTAAGATACGCAACTTCAGCTACGTGAATAGCGTAGCTGAAGTGGCGTATTTTAGGTCGACTTACCTGGCTGTGAGGACGGCGGCAAGTCGACCGCTGCCGCGCCGCCGTCGACTCCGCTACCGCCTCTTGCCGCGGTGGATTTCTGGAGTCGACGGTAGAGCCATCAGGGATCGATTTTATCGCGTCTTCACTAGACGCGGTAAGTCGATCCCCGATAGACCGATTGCTACCCGCCGATCCGGCGGGTAGTGAAGACGTGCCCTTAGGGTCTGGAAGCTGCTGCCAGGAATTCTCAGCTGAGCACACTGGGATTTGGTCCTTAAGGTGTTCTGAATAAGCCCAACTCTTTTGGTCACAATGCAAAGCCCATCTCTCTTGTCAGGGGCTTGCTGGAGGTGGGTGGGAGGGGATAGCATTGAGTTGTCTATTTGATTATGAACAGAGATCCCGAGGCAGATAAGAGCGCTCACCTTATATAGATCTAATATAGACAGGAATATACTCAAGGACAAACATAATAGTGTGGTTACCACCTGGGATCAAATTCAGACTCAGCTTTGCAGGGACTAAGTCCCTACAGTGAGAGCCGCAGGATTCACATCCCTCACTGGGAGCTGCAGAAGACTCATCGGTTCAGTGGATCAGGAGCAGCAAGTGAACCAATCCATTCCCAGCAATTCCCATAACGTTGGAAAAGCAACCATACCATAGTACATGCAGAACACTAGGGATGCTGCCAAGAAGGAGCCCAGGAACTGGCCAATTATGTAAGCTGGCAGCTTTCTCCAGGGAAGATTTCCTAAGACGCAGTGTGTGAAGCTTATTGAGGCATTCATATGAGCTCCTGTTTAAAAACATACATATATATGTATAAATACAAACACACACACACACACATTTATATACACATTACATCTGCTTCATAAATAACGTGTCTATGCCAGTGCAACAACTCTAAAGCCCCATAGTTGATGGTCAACACTGAGACTAGGATCCTGCTCCCAAAACACCATGTGCCAAGAATTCAGAAGTTTATATCCACTGCAGACAAGTCCCCTCCATGCTGGAGCAGGTGAGCCAGCCGCTCCAGGAAATAGCAGGGGTGCCTCTAGCAGGTCTGATTCTCCGGTGCCTTGCACCTTGTGTCGTCATTTGCACCTGCGGGGAGCAAGTGCAAAATGCTACCATTGGCATGGAAGAGATCACCCATGTCCCAGCTCCTGTGCTGCCAGTGAGTTAGTTCATTGCTCCATCCCACGCATCAGGGAGCTTGAGATGTTCTCCCATGCTTTGCTAAGTTGCCATTTGTTTCCGGCACAGTGAGTGCAGCAGGGAACAGACCTATGGGCTCACTGGGCCCTGATTCATGCCCTGCACCTTGTAAAACAAATCACAACAGTAGCACTTACACCCACTTGCTATCGCTCTCCACGGGTGTAAATGAGGACACAAGGGGCCGGGTAATGGTGAATCAGGCCCCATCACAGCTCCATGCTGGGTTCTGAGAAGTAACACACTGGCTGAGCATTTCTGCTCTACAGTCCAGGTGCTGCTCCACTTTCCCCTGCAGCCATAAGTTACATGATGACAAGCACCGAGGGCCTGACCCTAAGCAGGACAACGCAGACTAACCTCCCCTAAAGTCAGTGGGAGCTGCAGGGTCTCAGCACCTCTAAAATCAGGCCCTACATCTGGTTTTAAAGTAAAAGGTTGAGGTACAGGGAGGGTGTAGCGGGGTTAGGGTGACCAGACAGCAAGTGTGAAAAATCGGGACAGAGGGTGGGGGGTTAATAGGAGCCTATATAAGAAAAAGCCCCAAATATCAGGACTGTCCCTATATAATTGGGACATCTGGTCACCCTAAGCGGGGTGGCTACCTGCTCCAGCCCTGACAGGGTTGGAACCAGCCCGGGGAGAGGGCTGGAGGGCTGGGAGAACAGCCCAGGCTGAGTGGGAAGCAGGCTCAGCAGGGGCCACGCCCCAATCAGGGCCCAGCTGGCCCTATAAAGGCTTGAG